ACTTTCCCTGTAATCGTCGAACAAGACTTCACCATCGCGCTAACACGATTACCGTATCTCCTCCAAGTCACATCTACCTATTACATCCGACACAACATCGAACATCTCGAGTCTTCACTTTCGAAGTTACTCGTGGTCGAAAAGCAAATTCGCCGGGACTTTCGAAAGTACAACGGTTTTACGCGAACTAGATGATTAATTACACCAAGAGGCTGCCGGAACTTTCACGCAGAAAGCATTTCGTATCAATTCAACCGCGGAGAAGAAAAAGGAGAGAGAGAGAGAGAACAAGAGGTGTACGTTGCATGATTTATCTAACGAGCGTGTTATCTATCAGGAAGAGATACCTAATCGCAATTCTCAGAGGCTGTTGCCACTGGTCGAGGCGGTGCAGATTGGCTCCTCGCCGATCGTCGTCTCTCGCGACTTTCACGCGAATCGTTGTTTCGTTATTTCCAATAATCGTCCCAGGTTAGGTTCGAGAGGGAACCGATTTTACAAGCTATGTTAACTCGACTGGCTGCCTTCCTTGTTCCTGGCTCTCTCGCGCGCCGCCGCTTTATCATCAACGAAAACGACTTTGATTCTCTGTTTTCGTTCGAGCTGACGCCGCACCGGTGAAACTGTAATCCGATTCGTTCGGTTCCGCGGTGGACTTTCACGCTGAAAGTTATTTCGTATTTCGCCTGATACTTGCAATTTCATCGCGAGTATGTACATATGTACCTGTGCGAGAAGTACCATGTGTAATTTTACCGCAGATTTCACGATACTCTCCGACTCCCCGTTCGAAGAGAGATTCTGCTGTAGACGATTGGAAAATGTGGAAATTTGCTTCTTCACGTTTTTTTGGCAAATTTTGTAAAAGGGTTTTATTAACAGGGATATGAAATTTTGTTGGAGATTTGAGGTTTTGATCTGGATTCGAGGATTTAAGGTTTTGATCTAGATTCGAGGTTTTTAGGGATTTAAGGTTTTGATCTGGACGATAAGAAAAGAATTGAAGTTTCCTGTATTGTATAGTTTTTGGATCAATCTTCTTTTTAAAATTGAATTTTTAAATTTGAAATTTGAATTTTGTTAAATATTTAACCCTGCAAGAGAAGATTCTGGGTTAAGGGGGTCTTCTAGTGTGACGGCCGTTCTTCTTTGCTAATTTCTTACAGAAGTACGGTAACAGTTATTAACATGAGCTTTATTTCTATGTATTTACTTGTCCTTGAAGAATCATTACAAATTTTTGTTGTTGAAAAATAATTAAATATGGCTGCTGTGGAACGCGTCAAACAGGAGAATGAAAAAAGAAAGTAGGTCCATGATTGCCATGATTTGAGCTGTTCTGCTTATCAGAAATAAAAAAATCCAACTGATTCTTATTTAGTATGCATGTCGCTATGGTCGGTAGTAGAATAAAAGAAGAATGTTGAAAATTTAAAAAATGGCGGCACTTTGAATACGAAGTATCGATTTTTCGACTTTTCTTCGTCTTCCAGAGGCTCCAAAAATCAGAAAAATGTATATTTTGGCGTAATTCTACTACAGACCATAGCCACATATGTTCTCAAGACATGTGCAAAATTTGAGTTCGATTGGTTCAGTAGTTTTTGCCAAATCGTGGCAACCATTTCAGAAAACATGGTTCCGAGAAAAACGCGTTTAAAGTTTTCAGTGCAATTTACATTCTCCCTTGATGTGTCACACTAAACGAGCTATAACTTCGTTATTTTATCGAATACAACTATAAAACTTCAGGAGTACATTCTTAGAGTTGTACTTTCGATATATGCAAAATAATAAAAATCGATTTTTTCAAACCGTCACACACGGAGCAAAAATGTCCAACTTCTTTTTCACATTTACGTGCATCTTTAGGAAGTGTAGACTGTTCTTACTGAAAGATTCTGTTGGCAAGAACAAAGAGAACTGTTGATTGCTTAACTCTTCAAGGAAATTACATTCAAGAGGAAATAACTTTTCAATTACATTATTTTTCTGAAGAATTTTCCTAGTACGCATGTGGAACTCATGAATATTTAACTCTTCGACAGAAGGTTCTAGCCTACAAGTCGAAAAGAATTGAAATTTCACCTTTTAGGTATGCAGAATATTTTTAAATAGAAGATTTTATAAATAAAAATCGAAATTTATTATTCTTCAATATGCAGAATATGTTTGAAAAATGATTCTCTGAGATTCGAAAAACAGACAAAGGTATGAGATTTTCTTTATAATATAATAGAAGAGATAGAAAAAGGTCATTTGAAATTTTAATACAGTAAGTGAGACGAAGTTCAGAAAGTGTGGATTTTTTTACACTTAGAATTAAAGATCTTATATTTCAAGTCAAAAAGTTAATTAATTTGGAAAATGTTCTAAGTCAACAAGTTATAGTAACTAAGAAATTTAAAAAAATTGTAAGAAGATTAATATCTTTACTATTCTTTTTAAATTTCTCAGCAAAGTAGATTTTTAAAGTAGTTGCTTTCACATAACTATAAGTTACGAATATAAAGCTGAAACATTACGAAGGTAAACGCATTCTATTCCGAGGAATTGCAGAAAACGTGTCACTTGCTTAATCGTTGATTTTTTAGATAGTAATAAACTATCTTTCCGTACCGAGTATGAAACCCCTTTGTTTATTGCAATCACATTTTTTCTTTCATTTCCTCGTTTCCTTCTTGATATTTTTCAAGCTGTATATCACAAGCTGCTTTTCTACACGTAAAAAGTGATTCATCCACTTAGCAAACTGCTACTCGAAGTGATACTTTCTTCGTCATCGCTGTACATATTTAATTTAGAAATATTCACAAATATCGAACGTACCGTTCTTACAAAAGTACCAAAACTAAATACTTTACACGTGAAATAACAAAATTCTACATCTGGTTATACAAAATTTGTATTCGCAAATTTTCTACAATTTCAATTCAGAAGCTAACATAAAAATTACGTTTTCTTAGATTCCCAAACTTTCCCAAATAAAAAAAATCGTCGTTCTATTATCGTCGATTAATTAACTCTTCAACAGTTTCACTAGCAATTTACTAAGTGTAAGTGGATGAATATCATTTTTGACATTTAGGATTTTCTTAGATTTCCGCTAATTTTTCTAATAATACAAAACTCCGAAATTTTATACGACTCGTGCATTACAGCCCTTACACCACGCATACGACTATTTAATTTACAAAAGCATCCGTAAACAATCTAATCACGAATAGATTACAGAATCAAGCACACCAGCCAGAAAGATAATGAAAGACGGAACAAAGGAAGCGTATCTTAATTTTAAGCTGTTCGTTTTGGAAAAAACATAACTTCGCTGAAATTGAACATTCTTATTTAAAATAATTTCCATAATATTCGATACACTTCTGCCAACGTATTGCAACGGCATCAATTCCGCGTACGTAAACGTCCAAATTTCTAAGAGAAAGAATCTCGATCCAAACTTAGCTTCCACCCGAAAAAGAATTATGCCCGTAGTTCGATGGTCTGCTTCAGAATTAATTCACCGTAGTTTCCTAAGACCGGGTATCGCTATTATCGCAAAGCCGTACAGTAACGAGTCACCAAAACTTAAGGTGCAGCGACCAGCTCTGATCAACAGGAAAGACCCTAACCTTTTGCATAACAACGCAAAGACAACTGTACAAAAATTGCATCAATTAGGTATCGAAGTCCATCGTATTCCCCTAATTAATCTCCAACCGATCTTCACTTTTTCCTCTCACACGACAATTTCCTTGCACAAAAACGATTTAGGAAACGGGAGGACGTTGGAAACGACTTTCAGCAGTTTCTTACTCTTGCAGACTCGGATTTTTCTATACGCGGAATCAATGCTCTCGTGACACGTTGACAAAAGTGTATCGAATATTATGGAAATTATTTGAATAAAAGTGTGTTATGTCTTCTTTTCAAAATGAACGACTTAAAACCGCGAGAACTTTCAGGATGACCTAATAGTACAGCAGTGGTCTACAAGATAAGTAGGCGCGCTGTATAGATCACAGAGAGAGATCCGTAACTATCGCGAGCCACTGTTGTTGTTAGGGGCTTGGGGTTGATCTTTCGATCGTTCAAGCTTTGCCGGTTTTTGCACGTGTGTGCCGACTAATGTTCTAAGGCTTCGAAGGACCAGTTTCTTCATTGAAACACTAAGTTTTTATTTGTGGTCTATTTTATACAACTAATTCTAGATACAAAGTCTATTGCGAAGTGAGAGGTGTTTCACTTGCTAGTTGCTAGCTGTTTCTCCCGGAGTCTCTCCGGTTTCCCTCGAAGAAGACTTCTCTTTTCCTAAAAACACCCTGATTGGTGATTTTTCCTTTTCTAAATCACCAATCAGTTTACTCCAGTGCATCGCAACCTCCCTCCATTTCGCCCTTAGCGCGTTATCTTAGGGAGAAAGTGTTCGGTGGACGGATGCGTGGGAATCCTGCGGAATCTCCGCTTTTCTAGGCTTTGTTAAAGTCAAGCGGCCCATCGACGTTGGCAAAAGTCGTGGGCCACTTTTCTAATTTTCCCTTCGGAGACTCCAGGATTTATGGCAGGGTCCGGTCCTAGGGACTAAGTGTCGCAGGCAACGCAATAAACACTTGTGGTGTTTTGAGGAAGCGATATTTGCCTGGGACGGCGACCACTTGACTCGCTGCCATAAATCCGGCTACAGGATACGCCTTAACAGTTGTAGACGAGCTTCTTACACAAGCGACACACGCTAAGAATACCTTGCTTTTCTAACCGTGAAACGTTCAAACGTGAAACGAGTACACCTGGCGATTGTCATTCGCGTTCACGCGTTCCAACGATAAGCTAGCTCAATAAAGGACATCTCGTTCGGGGATTCGTGTATCTCGAATTAATTTCCTACGCTTACCTAGCAAATTACACGACATTACGCAGCTGTTACACGTATCTAGCCGCTCTAAATTAGGTATAAATTTCCGACGGCGGTTTTAAAACGAACTCGTTTCTCTCTCTGTTCGCAGGTGACACTGGCCTCTAATTGGATAAAATGCGACTGTACATCCTGCTATCGTTGTTGGTGCAATTGGCATATGCTTTTCGACGCCCGTTCCCGGTAAATAGAGCCGTCGATCTGCCGATCTGATGCCAGAGGAAATCCCTGGTATCGATGAATAAAGATAATTATCTTTTAGAGAGATAAAAATCTTTTTCTTTTTATTTTTTGAAATTTCAGAATTTCGGAGAATAATTTCTACTCTTTGTTGCTATATTACAGGAAAAATGCTGGAATTGATAAGAATATTGTTTGTAAGCTACGAAGCTTTGGATTCGAAAATGAAAATTTGGAAAAATCGTTTTCTGCTTTTGCAATCTGAACTAATTTTGGAAAATAATTTTGGAGAAAATAAGAATATCAGACTAGATTGAAATATTATTTATAAGCTACGAAGCTTTGGATTCGAAAATGAAAATTTGGAAAAATCGTTTTCTGCTTTTGTAATCTGAAGTAATTTTGCAAAATAATTTTGGAGAAAATAAGAATATCAGACTAGATTAAAATATTATTTATAAGCTTCTTAAATTTCCCTGGAATAGTTGTGAAGAATAATCGAACTATTCTCTATCTTTTAGTGCACTTGATTTTCGTTTATAATAAGAAACTCGTTTGATAATAATGCTAACAGCAAAATTTTATTCAGAAGTTTGTAATCAGCTATAATTTAGGCGTCTCTCCTCGTCAGAATTTATTTAGCGTTGTATAATTTCAACAGAGAAGGTAGCAAATAAATAATATTTGCGTTAGTTTACTTAGAAACGTAACATTTACTATTATCACAAAGAAACACGATTTACATTCGTTCGTTAATAATGAAACCAAGAAAAAAGAATAATGTGACAGAAACGAGACGAAAAAGAATTCCATAAAATATCTAAGAATTCAGCAAAATGTTCGAAAGCAAATACAAATTAGCTTCTCGTTTACAATTAAGTAGAAAAGACGTTACTTAAAATATCTTTCCCACAATGGAAAATATCTGTTTACATTTATTTCTTTAACTAATGTAAATTAGTTTTCTTCGTATTAATAGGTAAATGTTACGTTTTAAAATAAAATAACGTAAACACTATTTACTTGCTACTTTCTCTGCTAATATTATACAACGCGAAATAAACTTTAACGAGGTATCCGGAGACTAACATTTTATTGCTGTAATTGATGTCAAAGTGTAATTTGTGATCTGCTTCAACGATACTATCAATAATTTCAAAATCGCATGACTTGCGGTTTCGAAAGCCTTCACTTTCATATTTGCTTCGTGCTTGATAATTACGATAGTTATCATCATCATCGTAGCAAGTTTACTAAATTTAACAAACATCGTGGACTTTTTAACCCTTTGCACTCCAATGGCGCCACTGTGGAGACACGCGTAATTACTTTGGAGAACTTTGAAAAGTGAAATTCAGGTTTTTCTATATTATTGAAAGGACGGAAATTAAAATGAGAAATAGAAATTAATAGATTCATAAACAGTAAGCATACTTTTTTCCAAAATGAAGCATGGGCTTTTCGAAAGTTTCACCGCAAAAGTATACTGGAGCTGCTGATTAATTCTATCAACAAATGCTTGGAGTGCAAAGAGTTAGTAACAAATTAATTCGCACGATAAGAATTATTCGTTTGAACGAACAATTCACTATTATCAAAATCAGATTAATCGACTAAAATCCAACTAAACTCACCGTACATTTCACACGTTTCAACAAACGAGAAATCCAGTTGGAACAGTTCAGAAACACGCGAAGCGTTACCTAAAAATTGTCGTGAACAATTAAGAAATCGTTTGCACAATTCATGGCCACTTTTCAAAACAACGAAATATTCTATTCTCACCGACAAATGTTTTTTTTTCTCCTGGAAACACGTTACATATGAATTTAACAATTTCGAAATTCCACCCGCAAATTTCGTAAATTCGTTACAACACCAAGAATTCACCAACGAGATATTCTATTCCCAATGACAAAATTTCTTTCTTCTGGGAACACGTTACATTTGAATTTAACAATTTCGAAATTCCACCCGCGAAATTTCGTAAATTCGTTACAACACCAAGAATTCGCCAACGAAATATCCTTCAGTTAACCAACGATAAGAAATTATCTGAAAACACGTCACCAGGATAACGAACAAAGTATCCTCATGCTCTTCTATGCGTCCAACTTTTCAATTTCAACATTCGACCCGCGAATTTCGTAAATGTGATTTCCCGAGCAGATTCTCATCACGAACGTGTGTCAAGAGCTAAGATTAGTACAGGAAAAATCGGAATGACTATTTTCAGAACGATGATTTCCCAAACGCTATCATTTTTACGAGTTTGGTAGAATTCTAAATGCGGGCGTTATCGCGTGCACCAGGAAAACCTACAATTTTCGCGAGTCCCTAATATAAACCGCATCACACCTCTCGTCGTACATTTTTCTAACGGCGATCGTCCCGTAACGAGCATTTCACTGTTAAAATGTGGAGGAATCTCTGTATCCTGGCGATTTCGCATTTGATTTGCTTAAAAACGGTTCGTATGAAATTCACGAGAAAGAAAGAATGAGAAATTTGTCACGTTGATGATTCACGGTAGATTAGCATACACTCGGTTCGAGTAAATTTACATTTTTCTGTATCGTTTCTTCTTTTTTTTCTTTTTTTTTTTGAATTCTTTGTCTACTTGGTAGAATAAGAGGCGAAATAAAATTAAATCATGAAGGCGTACGAAAGTGAAAGCGATTTAATTAAAGAGCTCGTTAACCAGTTTCAGACCAGCCAGGTGCCAGATACCAGCAATGAAACATCAGGATGTTGCTTATGTAGCTTCAGGGACACGTCTTACATGGAATCGAAATGCGGCGTGAAGACTTCCTTTATGAATTTGGTTGAAAAAGTGATCGCCTCTAGATGCGATATTTCTGACCCTTGCAACAGGCTTGGTAAAGAGGAAGTGCCGAATGAATGGTAAGGTTTGGCAAACTTTCCATTCAGCATGACTTTTAACTCGTCGTTGCTTTCAGTCGGATAATGAGACAAAGTGTTCCTTTCGAATGTAATTGGATTAAAGTTAATTAACGTCAACGGATAATTAGCAGTCGTCTGGCGAATGTTTAAGTTGCAATATTTTAACCCTTTCGCTGCGGAGAGATTTTAATGCGTGACGCGTGCGACAGACGGTAGATGGTCAATCACGGCTAAGAAATCTTTCGTTTTGACGTTTAAAAATTTGTTGAAAAAGTTTTGATCGTTCTAAAAATTCAGATAAATTCCATTAATTTCGATGGAAAAGTTTTTTACAAGAAGGAACTGCCAAAAATTGAACTAATTAATCACGAGGAATTTGTAGAATAAATAATCTAAACCTTGATCACTTAATAAAGATTCAAACTAAAATTTTCCAATGAAGTATTCAAAATTAAAATTTCGAAAATACAGTAAAAATTGAGGAAATTTCAGACGTAGGACCGAATAAGTACGACTAATTTGTAGAATAAATAGTCCAAACCTTGATCACTTAATAAAGATTCAAACTAAAATTTTCCAATGAAGTAATCAAAATTAAAATTTCGAAAATACAGTAAAAATTGAGGAAATTTCAGGCGTAGGACTGAATTAAGTACGACTAATTTGCAGAATAAACAGAAAATTAATGAAATATCGATCAAACGCGTGTTTATCACCGTGAATATACGATTACTCTCGTCACACCATAGCCAATCCTGAATTAAGTACGACTAATTTGCAGAACAAACAGAAAATTAATGAAATATCGATCAAACGCGTGTTTATCACCGTGAATATACGATTACTCTGTCACACCATAGATAATAAATGTCGAATAATAATGCACGAATGTGGGAGCTAACGCTAAATTATCGATCATTCAAGCAAATTGTTAAAATACAGGTTCGACTTCATCGTGGTCGGAGCCGGAATGGCCGGGCCTATAATTGCCAGGAGGCTGAGCGACAATCCCTGGTGGAGAGTTCTGTTGATCGAGGCTGGACCGGAAGAGCCGTCGATGACGTCCATTCCGGGACTCGCGTTTCACGCGGTCAACTCTAGCTTGGACTGGAATTTCAAAACTGAACCCACGGAGCCTCATCCAACTGCGTGTTTAGGTAAACAATCGATTAAAAAAAAAAATAAAAAAATGAAACAATTATAAAATAGTAATAATTGTCTTGGTTGTAAAGAAATTAATACAGGAGCCGTAAGATTCGATTCTTCGTGATTTAAATGAATAAGAGTACAGTGGAACCTCGACTGATAATTGTCTTGCTCATAAAGAAATGAATGTAGGAGCCGTAAGATTTGATTCTTCGCGATTTAAAACGAATAAGAGTAAGAGGGATCTTGGTTATTCGGTGTAGAAGTCGCGAGAATGGTATGAAATACACAATGCACGCAATGTCTTGTTATGATACGACGACACCGAGGTTTATTTTGTTTTCACGACAAGTACGAGCAAGCGACTAGTCACAAATTTCGAATAACATTTGGTATTTCTCCCAGGTCTCGATTTATCAGCGCCCTCTCGGTCCCGATGACACAAGTTAATCGAGGTCCCACTGTATGTATTATGTTTGAAATAGTTAATAAGTGAAATAACTCGACCAGTATATACTTTTCTCTTTAGAATATAAAAATAAAGTTCAACAATGGATACTTAATTCTTGTATGCAGTTTTGAAAGTTGCACGAATAAGTAAATTTGGGCGAAAATTGACCCAAGAGTAACATTGATTTTCGGTCAACTTAACCCAATTTCCGTAGAAAGGTTACAAATCAAAGATTTGAAGCTTTCACGGTCTGGTATTACGCAATTATTATTGTCGAGGCTTCCTGGTGTGATCTGTGTCCTTATGGAAACGGTATTCCGACGTTTCGCAAGCATCGCAGCTCAGTGTGTCGTTCGAACCCCGATGAAGCGAGCTGCAGCGCTTTCAAAACGACGCAATACTTTTTAACCCTTTCGCTGCGGCGGGTTATCGGCAAAATCTTCCGTTCTGGCGTTTAAAAGTTTTTAACAATCTAAAATTGATCATTTTTCAATTTCTATTGTTAAATTAAAGTGGGAGTACTCGAAGGATCGAATTTTAAGCAAAATTTAACAAGGACTGAATTAAGGCGAGAGTGTACCAAAAGTCACCAAAGCGCCTATAGCAGTGAAAGGGTTAACAATAAGGTACTTTTCTCTTCGTCGTTCCATTTTCTATAACCTAACTCATCCTCACCAGAGACCGGCGGAGTATGCATATGGCCACGAGGAAAAATGGTGTCTGGCACCAGCGGAATGCACGGAATGATGTACGCCCGAGGTCATCCGGAAGTCTACAACAGCTGGGCCAGAGGAGGAGCCATAGGTTGGTCCTACGACGAGATCGCGCACTACTTCGAGCGAGGAGAAAACCCCGCGGACCATCTGATGGTCTCGGACAAGCCTAGAACCGTCCCGATACCTGGTCCGATGAAGCTTCAGTATTACCTTCACAAACCGGCGTTCGCCGACGAAGTCCTGAAAGCCGCGGCTGAGTTAGGCTACAGAACGTCCAAGTTGAGAGAGTACACTCAGACAGGTTTCATGGTGGCTCCTATGACCACTGAGAACGGCATACGCGGCACAACCGCGAGGAATTACCTGAGACCAGTTCACGGAAGGCACAATTTGCGAGTCCTGATCAACGCCCAGGTGACGAAGATTCTGATGAATCACTGGCAGAGCAAAGCTTACGGCGTCGAGCTGATAGACAAAGACGGGTACAAGAGGATCGTGAAGGCTAACAAAGAGGTTATTCTAACAGCAGGAGCAGTTGGATCTCCTCATATTCTGTTGAACTCTGGAATAGGACCCAAGGAACATCTGACCAAATTGGGCATGCACGTGGTCAAAGACCTGCCGGTAGGAAAGAATCTGCATAATCACGTGTCGGTGGCCGTTCACTTCAGTATCAAGGACACTGCTTACGAAGCCATGACCATGGACAGCGTTAACGAATACCTGGAGACGAGAAGTGGTCCTTTGACCAGCACTGGATTAACCCAGGTCACCGCGTTCCTCGAAAGCAGCTACGCTGTCGCCGGAGTGCCTGATATTCAAGTGTTCTTCGATGGATTCTCGCCGAAGTGTCCAAGGACCGGGCTGGACTTCGAGTGTCTGAACGGTGCGCTTGCATTGTGCTCCGACAGGAGACAAATCGTGATGAGACCTACCGCTGTCACGGTGGCCAGTAGAGGATATATGAAACTGCGTTCCGGGGATCCTGTCGTGCCGCCGCTGATTTACCCGAATTATTTCGTCGATACCAAGGATTTGAAGGTGTTGGTCGAGGGTATCAAGAAGGCCATCGAGCTGACCAACACGCAGACTATGAAGAACTGGGACCTTCGGTTGGAACCTGTCATTCATCCCCTTTGTACCAAGTAAGCGGGTTTATGGTTGTGGTGCATTGGGCGTTTTAGAGAAGTGGAGCCAAGTTAGTTGAGGTGTAAAACTATGCATGTATGCAAAAGTATGCATATGCATTTTAAAGATCTAGTTTTTTTAGAATCTCAAAGACTATTTAAATATTTTTCTATGCGTTAATGCAGCTCTTTAGTATTGAGGAAAAAGTTTTCATTGGAATCGTTTGGAAGAGTGTAACATCCTTCAATTTTGCTTCGAATATTTACTACACTTCGTGTCCCAACTAAGTTCTTTCTAATTTCATGAAATACCGTGTACATAGTCTATCTAAATTTCACTCATCAATGGGAGCAGCAGTTAATTCTTATTACTCACAAATTTCTCAGTCTTAAAGTTATAACGACGATACTAATATAAAACTTCATATTTAACAAACTGACTGTCACACTGCTCAATTCTAATTAAAATGGAAGGGTTGATGACTAACATTAAGGGTGCAACAGTCTAAGCTATTTTATTCGGGTGAAAATAAGGTGTGAGTCAGATTTTAGATTAGGTTGGCCATCGCAGTATACGACAAAAATTTTTTGAGAATTTTTCGCACAATGGAAATAGTTCTAATTTCAAATCTCTCGACTTTTGGGTTCGAGGAACTCCCTTCCTTTTGGAGTCCTAGGATTGACACGTTCACTATCCACTGAGAGCCACATATGGCTCAGGACAGTTTGAACTCATCCACGTACACACACATTTTTATGATACAAACAGAAGTGAATGTTTGAAGTGTCATAAAAATAATGAAATTAACAGTGTCAGTTGAATGTCAGAAAAGTATCCTAAAAAAGCAGAGATAATTTGTCAATTTTCTTGGACGATTAAATTAAGTTAACTTTTTTCAGTTTTTTAAGTTAACTCTTCATTGGACAGTGAACGTGTTAATAAAAATAACCCGACGAGCAGAAAAATTCGACCGTGACCTCAAAATACATTCGAAATTTCCTCGAGAGTGAACCTGTTAAAAAATACTCCTACGAACCTCTATAATTAATATTCACGCAAATTTTGTCCGATTCAGCTACCACTTCGCCAGTGACGCGTACTGGGAATGCTACATAAGAACAGCAACTGGACCAGAGAATCACCAATCGGGTACCTGCAAAATGGGCGCGTACGACGACCCGACAGCCGTCGTGGATCCGGAACTTCGAGTGCGTGGAGTGACGAACATTCGAGTCGCGGACGCGTCCGTGTTCCCGATCGTGCCAAACGGTAACCCCATCGCCGCGATCATGATGACCGCTGAAAAAGCGGCCGACATGATCAGGCACACGTGGATGAAGATGTGAAACACCGTTCACCGATCACTGACGTACACTTCTTTAGAATGTTCAAATAAAGACTCTCTTCCTGTCGGCATAAAACCTCCGCACATCGTGTTTCTTTCACTCTCGTTTCACCTGTCGTATGGTACCGCCACGAGTGATTTAACTATGTAATTTCGATTTGATTAAAATTAGAAACGAAGGTTGAAAGTATTGTACGAGCAGTAGGTGGTTTCTTTGTGCAGAAATATGTAAGAAATGTAGAATGAGCATTGTTCATCCGAGGCTTAGCTTTTGAGGAAATCAGATTGGGATTTAACCCTACTGCGTTCTTCGTTTTGACTGTACACTTAAGACTTTTGGGTGAAAAAGGACCTAAGACCTTATGTGTAATAATTTTTCTTTCCAACGCGACACATGAACCTAGACGATAAACGTTTAAAATAATGTCAAGGAACGTAAACTTGATAACAGCAAAAATGACTAAAAATATAAAAAGGCGGTGGGTCAAAAGAGACCCGAAGACCGCTCTAGGGTTAAATTACATTTCTTCGCTGAAGATAGTATTATATGAGTCACTCAGAAGCGAAACTGATTAACTCCACTGTTTGGTGCTTAATTATTCATAAATCAAAGAAATTTAATAAATCTAATTCAACGGAGTTTGTCACTTTGGCTTCGGTAAAAATATACAGGGTGTTCGCGCTATTTGTTTCCAACGTTTTTCCTCTTGAGCTGCAAATTTGCGAGAAAAATAGAAGAGGACAAAGTTTCATTATTTTCTACACGCAACACGATGGCTTGAACAGATTTTTTCAATCTGCAATGGTTTCTGCGTAACGACGATACCATCAATTTTTGAAATTGATAGCTATAATTGTTTTAAAATTCAACGACCAGCAATAATCTCATTTTAAAACTCAATTTCGTGACAATGTTTGGTGTCGCATAATTAATAACACACTATTAGGATGTTATTTTTACGAGGGCACTTCAAATCGAAACAAATATTTAGAATCTAAATATCGTAATAATTTTCTAACGACTGTTCAAGTGTGCTTTACATTCGTTTAAATGTCCTAATACACTACGCCAGGAAATTGAAGGACCGCTAAATTTTGACCGAAAAGTTGTCGATATTTGAACGTATCATTTGGTATCATCTCGACTCGTTTTAAAGAGCGAAACCTATGACAAAATTCTATTCTACATTTCCTATTCAGTTTTGTACAAAGAATCACCTTCTGCTCGCTTGTACAATACTTTCAGCCGCACTGTGTGTGTGTGTACATCGAGATGAAATTAACTTTTGGCGAAGTTCTGAAAATTGCTTTCTGTTCAGTTGACGAAAGGTGCTCGCTGTTGGAAATTCGTTGTACTTTGAAATTTTCACTGATAATTATTACTAGATACGTGAAACTTTGAAGAATGTAACAAACATTGCAGATCTGTGTGCCATATACGACAGGGTGAATGACGCTTTTCGATTTCCAAGTGGCCAGTCTACGACTGTTATCCTGTGAGATATGTTATTCGATCACTGTCCAGCTTGAAAACAGATTTTTCCCAATTGCATTTCGACGGAATGGATTTTGTACTTGAAATATATTATTTATTTAATATTCCGTTTGTTTCATTTCATCTACTTATACTTCACGTTATTCGAACTTCGTCTATCACGGTAAACTTTATTTTTCTTTTCAACGTTCCCGAAATTTCTTCGTCATTTTGGAAAGCTTGCAAACAATCCAATGGTATTTTTCAAAAGTTGTTTTATGAATGGGAACAGCGTTAAATTACCAGTTGGAATTTTAGCAACGATTGTTGTTGTGTTTGCTGATAATGAGTAAAATTTGATATATAGTTGGGGCCACGATATAGCGAGGTCGTAAATTAAACTCTCAAGAATCGGCATCGATTGATGTTGCGGCACTCAAGGCCGTGTGTTGCAGTCTGTTTGAGGGTTCCAACAATAAACGAATGGTAGCATATGATTTGGTACTTCAAGTAGAAAATGGTATTTCATTTACAAATGGAAAATATGTTAATATTAAGCTACACAATCTTTTTGCACTTTCTATCTGTATATAACACGAGTAGATAAACTAAGATGCTAAAGACATCAATAAGACCTTTACCTGTAACCGTACTTCCAAAAGCGGCTTCCCCCAGAGGGAGAAACCCTAATTTGTCCTAGCTGCATGCAGTTTTCAGTAAATATATTAGAATCAGTTGACTTTCGCTGGATACAAGAATTCTTTGTACGGTCCTGACCATGGTTTCAAGTACTTATCTGCTCGTATCTCTGTCAATTTTCGGGTCCCGGCAGCTAAAACATGTTTACTTTGACGTCTGACCGATTTTACGACCTCGCTATATCGTGGCCCCGACTATACATACGTATTTAGATTGGAGCGTTTCTTTAACTTTAAAATGAGCCCAAGATCGAAGCATTAAAGCGGCGACACTTTGGCTAATTTAAAAACTTGAACGCTAAATATTTTAAAAATCGTGCCAGACAGAAAACTAGATGTTACATACATAGTTCCGTTTCTCAAGGGTATCAAGAAATCCTACGAGTTTGAAAAAAATCGGCGACTATGACCGCAACCTCTGCGATTTGACGTGGAAGGCTTGCAAGTACGTAACACCGTTATCGCGATTTTTCTCTCGAGAGTAAACAGTAATCACACCTGACGATATCAAATGAATCAGCCTGATATTCATATTGGTGTATGATATTACGTCATCCTGAAAGTTTCCGCGTTTTTAAACCGCTAATTTTGAAAGAAAGAAAAACATCATTTCATTGATATCGAACACTTTTATTTCAAATAATTTCCATAATGTTCGATACACTTTCGCCAACGTATTACAAGAGATTCGGATTTTTGTAACAAGTTGTGTAAGCACAACTTAAATGAATTTAACACAGGATAGGGTATTATCCAAAAATGTATTAAACTATAGTTCTAAGCGACTGCTAAGTGCTCCGGTGTCCGTCTCGCTCGACGGCTGTTTCCAGAGTGTCCTCTCCGCGTCGTCTTCCGCGTTGCTCCGAAAAACCGTTGGAGCCCCCTCGTTCGACTTTTCGGGGAAAGGGCTTAGTTTTGTTAGATTTATCAGTCAGTTAGATATAACGAAAATTAATCTAACGCCTTACTAGGAATCCGTTTAGCCTTACCATCTCTGTTTAGTAAAGATCTAAATGTTTATGATACGTGACAAAAGGCCCTTCGGTCCCAAGCGGGGTCGTAGGCAATATTAGGGCGTTGCGTAGGAGCATTCTCAGTCCGTAGACAGTGCTCTTACCACCAAGTAGAAAAGCGAACCTTCCTTGTATCTAATAAAAGTTTACAGTTTAAAATAAGGATGATTAATTATTTAACAACCGGTAACTCCCATAATCCAATAAGTTTATGAAACCTTCGGGTACCCGCGCGCTTTCTCTTCCTGGGTGACAATGTCCAGGCCGCCACTTCGCCGCGGGAATCTCGCATTTCTTACAGTTGGCAAAAGTGTATCGAACATTATGGAAATTATTTTCAATGCATCCTGAAAGTTTCCGCGTTTTTAAACCGCTAATTTTGAAAGAAAGAAAAACATCATTTCATTAATATCGAACACTTTTATTTCAAATAATTTGAAATAATTTGAACATTATGGAAATTATTTTCAATAAAAATGCTTCATTTCTGTGCTGTTTTTTTGTTTCAAAATGAACGGCTTGAAAACGCGGGAATTTTCAGAATGCAATAGTTATCGTGACGAAGACTCGGTACATCTACCTGAAGATTTTATCATATTATCATCGACCGTATCACCTTTCCTAATAATTTCTTACCTTTGTTCATACTTTTGGTAAAAATAATTTAGGAATACTCCTTACTAATGAAAAATTGCAAATGTATTAGGTGATCCCGTAAATTCGTGGCAAAAGCGAGAAATACTTGAAAAAAGTTGTGAAATGTGAAGACGCTTAGATTGATCTAAACGATAAAATTCGACATATTTACAATTTAAACGAGTGACATTGATCCTTTCAACAAATTTCAGCTGTTATACTCTTATTTTCTGACTGAAATAAGTTAGCTCAACCCCGTGATCCCTTGACAATGTTCACAATATAGGTTACGCTCGTTTTGAATACCGACTCGTCCATTTTGACAGAAGCAATACACGCGCTATCGATGACGAATTCGTTTCAAGAAGAACGTACTCGTGAATTTTCTATTCTGAAAACTTTACTTCGGTATAAACCAGTAAAAAAAGACAACGAAAAACGAAGCAATTTTACGAATATTATAACTATTTCTTAATATTGTAGCTGTTTTCTTTGCACACATTGTATACTATTTCACCTTTTGTTTCTCTACTTCTTCGTCCTTTTATCATACAATTTTTTCACAGTACAATTTTTGCATCCCAACAGTGAACACGGTGAAATATTTACGAGTCGAAGGCTAACGTGTGTTTCATACAGGTGGAATAAACATAAAACTTTTCCGCGGCAGTCGTATCGCATTAAACGATATTGTATTACTTGGAATACACGTTTTCCGTTTCATGTATCGTATACCGGTAAAAGGAGAGGAACGATGTAAAAACTAGGAAAAAATGATGGAACTAAAACGTAGCTCGGTGCAGCGTAACATATAACAAACAACAGAATAAAAACATTCTATTTGTTTTTCCAAGCTTCCAAAGTCCCTTTCAATTTTTCTTAGATGAACCTGCAATTCTTTTACACCCATCTTTTAACAGATGTTAAAATACCTTTTTCTCCGTCTGGACTAAAGAAACAGCGAAAAACGGTATTCTAACAATAAAAAAAAGGTGCAAATGTGACAGAAAGATCTAACAATAAGCAGTCACTTATTTGCCGTCTAGTGCAGTGACGGCGAACCTTCGACACGCCAAGACATTTTGGGTGACACGCGTCGTTTACGGACGAAACCGAGCAGATCACGAATAATCATCACACAAACCGTTAAGATTTATCAGTAAATTAGATATAACAAAAATTCATCTAAAGCCTTACTAGTGTCGTCGAATCACTTTAGACGGTGGATTTTACGAATTATCTTTGTTGTATTCCGCGGCTCGCGATTCCTTGCGTTGGTTTATTATATTCAATAGGTACGCGGTAGGAGAGCCTGATGGAAACTGGGGCGAAATAAGGGAGCTATTCTGCGCGTAGTACTATTCGACTTTATTAGACAGTTCGGTGACGTTCGGTGCGTGAAGACCACTAGACAAAAATCTGCTGTTTCGACGGAAAAGGTTTCTAGATATAGGTTCGGTAAGTACGAGAGTAGGGGTTGGTCTCAGAGGTCAATGTAGGGAGAGGCGGTGAGGTCTAGGTTCAGCGATGAGTAAAGGATGATGTGGAGGTCTAGGTTTCGGGGTGACTAACGTTAGGATGATGCGGATTTGTTTACAGTTAAGGAAAGGAGGCAGGATGACTAAAAATTTGCGAATATAAAGTGTACGGTCTAAACTGCCTTGTTATTCAATGCTGACTGCCTTTTTGTTCTTTTTCGAGGCTGCCTTTATATTGGGGTTTTTGGGAGTTGCGGGTGGGGGAATTTACGAATGCGTCTGTGGCGACCGCCACGGGGGGCCACGCACTTAGGCCTGGCGACTCTTGGCCATCGAGGCGAAGAATCGAGAGATGTTTTTCCAAACAACTCCGAGTTTCTTCGTCCTCGAGGACAAGAGTATTGCCTCGGCAATGCAGGCCCGCGCCCCACTTCCTGGGACTCTCCCAGGGAAAAGGGGCTACTTAAGGGAGCCCCGAAAAAGGCACGAGGCTTTTAGGTCGTAGACTCGCGCCGCCTGCACTTCAAAATTAGGTTAAACGTTATCGGATTCAAATAAATATATTTTTATTAAACAACTTGCCCGAGTAATTACTTTACACCACGTCACTACCAAACGTCCGTTAGGTAAGGACTCGATAATGATCAGGACTCGTTAGGACTGAGGGTTCGATGGTACGGGAGAAGAATTGCAGGGACAATGGTTAGGTAATGAACTCAAGGATTCGGTACAAAAGAAATGGGTAAAGTGCATCAGTTGGAGGATCTGCCGGAGAACTGTAGGAAAATCAAAAATTCTATCTTCGTCGCAAGAGAAACTCGAGATAGGACAAATTTAAGGAAATTGAGGAAAAGCAGCAGCTCGATGAGTAATTGAGAAACGTTAAAAGTAGGTCGCGAGAAATGTAGAAACAAGTCCAGCGAAAATTCGAAATGAGAGATCTCGTAGGCGTCTTTGAGCGCCGACGACACAAATGGAGTTTCGAAAACGACGTCGATGAATTTAGGATTAAGGTATTTCGCGAGAGAGCAGGGACACCTAATATCGGCGCGGCGTTTAATCTTGCCGTACGCTTCAGCGAGCAATTTCTCGCAGTGTCATTCAGAATGTGGTCCTCTTCGATATTTCTCGCTAATAAGTGGGGGGACCGTGGTTAACTGCTTTCCACCCCTGAACTGAGCTGGAAAAAGGGGGCTTCGAGTTATCAGCACTTCTACTTGCCAGTATTTACGAGTACAGTGATATTCTATCACACTGTCGCTATTCGAGCTCCCCTCGTATTATGTTAGTACTACTAGGACAGGAATTCGGTGGGGAAGTGGAAAAGGCGCAGGTAGTTGTCAAAACGGTACCTGGGATAAGGATCTGTACGCATGGGAGTCAAGGGACAAAGGGACGAGGATTCGACACTAGGAAGTATATATTACTTTTGTATACGTTCCGAGAAATCCGTTTAGCATTACCACCTCTGTTTAGTAAAGATCTAAATGTTTATGATACGTGACAAAAGGCCCTTCGGTTCAAAGCGGGGTCGTAGGCAATATTAGGGCGTTGCGTAGGAGCCCAGTATTTACGAGTACAGTGATATTCTATCACACTGTCGCTATTCGAGCTCCCCTCGTATTATGTTAGTACTACTAGGACAGGAATTCGGTGGGGAAGTGGAAAAGGCGCAGGTAGTTGTCAAAACGGTACCTGGGATAAGGATCTGTACGCATGGGAGTCAAGGGACAAAGGGACGAGGATTCGACACTAGGAAGTATATATTACTTTTGTATACGTTCCGAGAAATCCGTTTAGCTTTACCACCTCTGTTTAGTAAAGATCTAAATGTTTATGATACGTGACAAAAGGCCCTTCGGTCCAAAGCGGGGTCGTAGGCAATATTAGGGCGTTGCGTAGGAAAATTCTTAGTCTGTATACAATGCTCTTACCGTCAAGTAGAAAAGCGAACCTTCCTTGTGTCTAATAAAAGTTTACAGTTTAAAATAAGGATTGTTAATTATTTAACAACCGGTAACTCCCATAATCCAATACAAACAACAACGAAAAACAACGGTGTCTATCTTCTATCGACGAGGTTCAGAATCGTTAATTCGGAGCTGAGCCATAGCGAGTCCGTGATCGTACCAGGTCGTAACGCCCGCAACAATTATGGACACGGCACCCGAGTTAAGCTAGGTTTTTCCCCAATTTTGACACACCGAGCTCAAAAGGCTCGCCGTCACTGGTCTAGTGCATTACTGTCCGCCATTTTGAACGCACACTGTGAATCTGCGTAAGTTCGAAACTTATCAAAATCACGTTTTCCTGTTTATCTTTCTTCGCCGTATCATTTCTTCGAATAAGAAACAGACATTTTTTTATCATACTCGTTAAATTCGTCTTAATACCCGCTAACTCAAAGCCAGAGAAGATTATGGCTATACATAAAAGAAGTGAAGGCGATTTCGAAAGAAATTGCCTGGTAACTACTACTTGCGCGGTCGTTTACACGTGTGTGAGAATGTAAATCGTTCAATTTCATGGAACGAATGACTTATTGTGTTAACTGTAATTACTACGGCTCTTAAAGCACACTTTTCACCGTAATTTCGAAGAGACAAGAGTTTTACGAAGGATACGAGACTGTTGCATATTCAGTAATGCGTGAAAGTGTGTTATGATATGATAAAATATTAAAGTTATGTACGAGTGTAGTCTAGAGGTACACTCTCGTCCATAAGTATCCTGACACCTGGCAAGTTCAGATAAAAGGCGTACGAACGGTACAACAATGCAATTATTTCTTAACAAAATTGGTGTCAATTGAAAGATCTGTAGTATATAATAAACAAGATTTTTACCACTGAATAATGTAAAATACTTCGTAAAATACAATCGCGGCAATCTTTAAACTTTCTGCCTGAATTTCGCTCCAGCTTCATTGCAGTTGCGCCCACACCACTTTTTCCGATCTTGGCCACTTAATTTTACTTTGTTTATCTAACTCGTCCCGCAATTTTTGATGGGATTGAAATCCGGCGATTGTTTTAACAGGGAAAATCACTGCATGATTTTAACGTCACTGTCAGTTTCGAATTCCCTTAAATAACGAATGTACGCTTTAGCACCGTGTTTGAGGTTACTGTCACGCGCGAAAACAAAATGGCGTCCAATAAGTTTCTTTCCCGATGGCACAGCGTGGCCTTTCAAAATGTCCAAATATTGCTCTTCACGCGTTGTACCTTCTACTTTTACCAAATCACCGACATTATTGCCACGAAAACAATTCCACTTGTATTTGTCTCGTGTTTAGCAGTCTTAAGCGGCACAGAATTCTACCAAACTCTAGCTCTAGTCAAATAACAAACGTGTTAAATTGTATCGTGTTATGAAGGAGAGAGATAAAATCATCTAACGCGATATTCTTCATTTGCACTTTTCTCTGTTTCTTCAAATTCTCAAATTGCTCATCGATACGAACGATTTCGCGCCATTTTTACTACAGCAATATTTTTACATTATTTACCGGCACGAATCTTACGTATTACGCAAAACAGTTCTTCCACGATCACAGACCTTTCAATTAGTACCAATTTTCTTAAGAAATAATTGTATTATCGTATCGTTAATACGCCCTTTACCAGAATTTCCTAGGTGTCCGGATACTTATGGACGGGAGTGTACATTTTAGCTGTATTTCCCATTTCAGATTAATATTTCTTCCAACAATATTCCGGTGTTTGCGTTGGGGTAACAAGTTATTGTTCCTAATGCAAGGATAATTCGTTACAAACGTAAATTAACGATCGTTCTCAAGGAGAAAATGTGAGAAAACAGACTTTGTAAAGTTCGTGTTCGGAACGTCATTTGACGTTTGCCAGCAATTTTTCGGGCGATTAGTTGTTACTTAGGTCGATAATGATTCGCAAAAACACATTGTATGCACGGCTACAAGGAAACAAGGTTATGTAAAGAAGAGGTGAACGAGATATACACGTCACACGTATCTCGTCACCCTTCTAGCAAAAACCAATACTTTAGACGTACATATGAGTCAGTTATTCGAGAGAACGTGCCGAGAAGTGTCGAATCGCAGTGCAGTTTTGGTTATCGTTATCTTCACCCGCTTGCCGAAATATCAATCGGTTAGTCCAATCTATTCCATTTGCTGAACTTTTAACCTTCTGGTTGTAAAAATTCGTTCGTGTTGTTTTTCTTTTTTCTTTTTTTTTTAATCTATTTAACAATTTGCCGGTGTAGTTAACTTGGTTAGCTAAGTTATTCGCGATTTAGTATTTGCATGAACTAAAATAGAGTATTTAGCATATTTGTTAAATTTAAAACAGAATATTTAGCATATTTATTAAATTTAAAATAGAATATTCACAATATCTATTAGATTTAAAATTTGAAATATTTACTAAATTTACAATTTAAAATATTTACTAAATTCAAAATTTAAAAGATTTATTGAATTAAAAAACGTATTAAAATATCATCACTTTTATCGTTAACTGGGTACAGTAAGTAAGACTTGAGAAATGGTTTTATTAAACTGATTTCGAAAATATAAAACACAATATATCACGACGGATTTATCTTGTTGATATTAGATAACATTGAATAAGAATAAATTGTTTATCTTATGACGATTTCATTGAGATTTTTCCGAGGCTTTCACTGCCTGGACTGATCGAGTTGTCAATCGAGGCTTCCGCGTTTCAGCTGTGCCTAATTTTGGCAGCTGAATTCATCAGAGTTCGAAAAAGCACAGTGATAATGTGTCATTTCGGTTTGTATTTATGTGCGAGCCGTGTTCACGCGACGGATCATTGGCTACCGATCAGCTGTTTTTAATTGGTGAGTTGAACGATTGAAAGAAAAAACGCGAAGAATGTGTTCGAAAACAATTGGACACGACTGAAACCCGGAAGCCTCGAATATCGATTGAAAGGGCTAAAACAGGTAAAGCTTGGGAATTTTTTTCACAGGTAACTACTGAATGAAAAGTTTCAATTTTTTCAGAGGATACGAACGTAACTTTCAGCTGTTTTCTCCAATTATTAGAAAGTGAAAATGTTAGAAAATGGAGGAGTTATTGCGAAACGTCTTCTGTTAGAACATCGATTGTTTTGTGTCATCGTTGGAAAGGATTAGAACGTCTGAAATAAAAAATTCTTGGTGATTTATGTACAAAGACGTATTAACTACAACGTAGCATAAGACTTTTCAAAAATTTTCAGTATTATAGAAATGGTGGCAGTTTGAAGAGGAAAAACTTCTCTTTACCAAAAAGTCAACTTTGAACGTTTCTAAAAAATTGAATAATTGACATATCGAAAAAATTGAACGCTGCACTGTAGGTAATGCATTTTTATTTATAAATGAAAAAGAACTTTTTTGTTTCAATCGGTCTAATTCTTATCGGCAATAGCAGTCAGCAATCGATGCTCTAGCAAAAGAGGTTTCGCAATAACTCCTCCATTTTGTAACATTTCTACTTTTCAAAAATTCAAGAAAGAAGCTAAAAGTTACATTTACATTCCCTGAAAAAATTGAAACTATTCATTCGGTAGTTTCCTACGAAAAAATTTTCAAACTTCATCTATTTTCAGGCGCCTCAGAGTGATGTATTTTCTTAAACAATTCCACTGTTCAGCTAGAAGTGAAAAAAAAAATCATGCAAGGCACTGTGAATATTTAAGACTTACTTTTCATTCGCAAATTGTCCGAAATGTAAAATGAAACTAAATATTCCACGTACCCATAAACATTCTCGTTTAAAATTTTCATATATTTTTCCATCTTTTCGTTGCAGTCAAATCGTTAGTTCCGATAGAAAAATCACGCAATGGACTCGTGTATGGCAACAAGTAGCGCTGCCGCGCTATCTTCGATGCCAACCTCTATTTTCTCTCAATTGTTGCACGTGCTCCTAGTATCCCAATGTACTTTGAGTACAAACGAAGATTATCCGGTGGATCGTACAGAGGAGATTTTAGCCTCGCAAAAAGAATTCGATTTCGTGATCGTCGGAGCTGGAACAGCGGGAACCATTCTAGCTCACAGATTAACGGAAGTGCCCGACTGGAACGTTCTACTGATAGAGGCTGGGGAGGATCCGATTCCAGAAAGCGACGTTCCTGGTCTCATGTTGCTTCTCTTTGGTGATTTTCAGGATTACGCTTACAAGGTACGGCAAATTGTTTCACAAACGTAACAGTAATTTAATTCAGTTGCTGATTATACTTTGGTACAGTTACGAGAAGTGCATTGTTACACACTTTGATCATTTCCCAACGAATTATAATCATTTTTGACATGTTAAATTCACTTAAACTTGACTTAAAGCGCCGCAATATTTACGAGTTTTGTAGAAATGAAATAGAGTTTTACAAAATAAAATAAAATAACTCTTGTAAAACATGAAATTTCTGTTCAAAAGTTTGACATAGTGCTTATTACAGGCACAGCGACGATTTTCAATGATATAAATATTCAACCACTTGCCGTTCAAGAGATATATCTTTTTCTGCACAAACATGTAAAAATGCATTTAGGCGGGCCCGGCGCTTAATCGCTAGTCCACATATTGCGCCTTAAGGCGGGTCCGGCGCTTAACCCTTGTGTCAATAACCTTGTGATAAACTTCAGGCAAACGTGCGAAATAACGACGATCTGGCCGGATATTTCACTCTTTTACCTGGAAGATCAAATATTTTAAGTGAGAATCATGCAAAAGAGTACCCGGTTATTGACATTAGGGTTAAAGCGTTAATACTTAGCAACACCATGAAGTTAACACCATGAAAAATTCCCTGCATTTCACCAACTCCAAACTCTAACATCAAAGCATCAATACTCCAGCTCTAGCTGTCACAGACACCCTACTGATCAATCGTTTCTCCATCAAGGCTGAAGCCCAAGTGGGCGTCTGCCAAGGTATCAACAACAAACGATGCAGATGGTCGAAAGGCAAGGCTCTTGGAGGCAGTTCAGTGATCAATGCCATGCTACACGTATTCGGTAACGACAGAGACTACAACGACTGGGCTAACTTAGGCAACGAAGGCTGGAGCTACGAAGAACTGCTCCCCTACTTCAGAAAACCCCTAAACTGTCCACCTGATCACTCAGCTAAATGGGGCAGCAAACACTGCGGAACCGGAGGACCGATGAACGTCAGAAGCTACAATTACTCCATGACGAACATTCAAGACATCATCCTCGACGCTGTACGAGAATTAGGCCTGAACGTCCTGGAGCCTCTCATAGGCGATCGTTTCGTCGGTTACGGAAGAGCACTGGGCACCATCGACAATGCGCGACGCGTGAACGCCGCGAAGGCGTTCCTGTCGCCCATCAAAGAGCGCAAGAACCTGCACGTGATGAAGTCGAGCAGAGTCGACAGAATCCTGACGGAGAACGCTCGGGCAACCGGCGTTCGTGTCACCTTGAAAGACGGCCGATCGATCGACATCAAAGCGACCAAGGAGGTGATCCTCTCCGCAGGAAGCATCGCTAGCCCTCAGTTACTCATGCTTTCCGGTATAGGACCCAGGCAACACCTAGAAGAAATGGGAATACCGGTGCTGGCTGATCTACCGGTCGGCAAGAATCTCCAGGATCACGTTATCTGGGTAGGGATGCACATAGGCTACGTGAACGAGTCGGTGACACCTCCTCTGTCGACGTACGCGTTGGACATAACCTACGAGTACCTGGTGCACAATTCCGGAGAACTGGCCACGGTTGGAATCGATCTCCTCGGTTTCGTCAACGTCAACGATCCTAGCTCCAAGTATCCGGACGTTCAGCTGGATTTCGGCCACTTCCCGCGCTGGAACTTGCTCAAAGTAGGAACTCTGTTGAAAGCTTTCGACGCCTCCGACGAACTGATACAAGCGGTATACAAGGAGATCATGGAGGTGGATTTGATCATTCCTTGTACAGTTCTGCTGAATCCTAAGAGTCGAGGAAAGGTAGAGCTGCGTAGCAGCGACCCGGCTGATCCTGTGAAGATTTACGGGAATTATTTCACCGAGAAGGAGGATCTGAGGACGTTGTTGAAGTCTGTGGATCAGATTAAGTCTCTGTTGAACACCGAAACGATGAAGAAGTACGGTATGCGGTTGCAGCACTTTGATATCCCTGGATGTAGACATACGAAGCCTGATTCTGACGAATATTGGGAGTGCAATGTTAGACACATAGCTAGTTCGCTGTTTCACGCTGTTGGTACGGCTAGAATGGGACCAAACGGCGATCCCATGGCTGTCGTGGATCCGAGATTAAGGGTGCACGGTGTTGAGAGGTTAAGAGTGATCGACGCGTCGATCATGCCGAAGATTGTCAGTGGGAACACTAATTCTCCGACCATGATGATCGCGGAGAAGGGAGCGGATATGGTCAAGGAAGATTGGAAGATTAAGGTTCGTGAGGAACTCTAGGAGCTTAGATTGGATAGATCTCTAGTTATCGATCGAGTAACTCTTATGGTAAATGATATTTCGCTCGTATATTGTGTTTTGAAGAATTTTGTTAGATAACTGAAATTTTATTTTATTGTACATCGCTAGTGATAATTTTAATTTCTTATCCTGTCAGGATAATTCGGTGTCCTTTCCGTAAACTTCACTGTTCGTGTACAAAAAATGAAACGCAATTTTAATATTCGAATTGATCTCTATTATTTGGGATGAATTTTTTCCATTTATCGGGTGAATCTTGAGAATTCACTTTCTGAAAAAGTATGGTGGTTCTGAGTCGATAAATTTGTCAAGACTTCGTGGAAAAGGCACCGAATTAATTTGTATACTTAATACTTCTATTAACTTTCGCATACACTGTGTTTTTTTCAAAAAATAATGTATCTTCCAGTCAAAAATAATTTCGATTTTTGACGATTAACTAGTTTCATTACTCGAAATTCATAAAAATCTTTATAAAAGTCTCTGAATGGAAGAATTCTTCAAAGGCTGCTTTCACAGTGTCTTCACTTCCAAATAATTTATTTCTTAAAAAACTTGTACTTCATTTGCATTCTCGCTGCTACATAGTAACACTCCACCGCACTATTCTCTCGTTTCGCAATTCCCCGAACGCACTTACTCTCCGCCACATTTTTACCAACCGAGTCGGTAACAGAAACGTGAAAAAAGAATAGAATGCAAATTTACGATTTACTCGACCTAGTTTTTCAACCGTGTCTCTCTCTCACTCTCCGAAGAAGCGTTGTTTGCTGTCTAATTGAATAAGAAACCTCGTCGAATTTTACGACGCGTCGAACGTGGATTTATCAAGGAGAGATGAACAAGCGTGGTGGCGTTTCGCAACGATTTTTGCGACGGAGTTTGTGGAAAGCGAAAGTGTAATGGTATGCGAACGTTCGATGCGAGAAAATGCGTTCAGAGGTTGTAAAATAGAGAAAACGCGATGAATAACAGGAAGTAAAACGTATCAAAGTGTGGAAGGAGAGTGGACGATAGATTGTTGCGTTATTGCAGCTAGATTATAGATCCTAGAGACTAGATCTGTCGAATAAGAATAGAGTGTAGAGGCTTCAGGAGGTGAGTAGGGATTCCTTAATGGTACACGATCCTTTCTAATCTTAGTAAACGTATGTAAGTGCTCGAATAGCGAATCTAGATTGCACTTGCGTTCTCATGTCACTGGACACTTATTAATCTCGAATAAAATGGCTATTGTAACGCACCGTTTGGATCATTTTTATTTGGAAAGTTGGTGTAGTTAGAGATACTTTATTTCGTTCGAAGTTTCATCGAAGTTTATTCAAGGATATATTGATTAACCAGATATTCCCAAATTTGGATTGAACAATAGGGAAGAACGTCATTTTATTTAGAAGTTTAACGCACGTTAAGAATTTTATCATTCGAAATAGACGATTTTCAGTGAAATTAAATAATACTAATGTGATTATTAAAATTGAACAAAAATTTAGAAATTCCTAATTTCACCGCGTGAAATTTATTTCATAAAAATAACAAATTTGTGTGCTAATGTAATTATTAAAATTGAACAAAAATTTAGAAATTCCTAACTTCACCGCGTGAAATTTATTTCCTGAAAATAACAAATTTGTGTGCTAATGTAATTATTAAAATTGAACAAAAATTTAGAAATTCATAATTTCACCGCGTGAAATTTATTTCATAAAAATAACAAATTTGTGTGCTAATGTAATTATTAAAATTGAACAAAAATTTAGAAATTCCTAATTTCACCGCGTGAAATTTATTTCCTGAAAATAACAAATTTCTTCTTCTTCTGAACGTATTATACTACGTGCCCAACTGTTTACATATGTATGAGTTATTGTGTTAAGTGTAATTACTGTGGCTTTCAAAACACACTTTTCACTGTAATTTCGAAGGAACTAGATTTTTACGAAAGTATGTTACGATATAATAGAATATTAAAGTTATGCATGAGTGTGGTCTAGAGGTACACATCATGCAAATTATATTTGTTCTTAAGATGTAGGAAGATTGATTCATTTGGAATGCGAATTGATGTGACATTAATTGACAGCGATTTGTTTGGCACACTTTGCTTGCATTTTTTTTTTTAATACTGCGGATTACTTTTAACGTTGCTTCGAAATAACCAGCATTGGAAACATGTTTATACACTTAAATATTATAATGTTGTAAATAAGAAAAAATCTATGTAAATTTGACTTCATTCTATTATCGTAAGTAGAAGTAGACGAATTATACAAATCTTGCACAGATCCTACAAATCTTCAAAAAACAACCACTTTTCTGTACAACAGACACTTCAACTATAATTCAAACAACCTAAAATAATTTACAAACAAATCAAATAGAAATATATTAACAGAAGTGAAATTATTATTTTGCACAGATCCTACAAATTTCCAAAAAACAACCACTTTTCTATGCAACACAAACTCCAACTACACTTCAAATTTACAAATAAATCTAAAATAAAACGAAACAGGTAAAATACTTTAACAAATGTGAAATTACTATTTTGTACAGGTCCAAGAAATTTCCAAAAAACAACCACTTTTCTATACAACAGACACTTCAACTATAATTCAAACAACCTAAAATAGAAATATATTAACAAAAGTGAAGTTATTATTTTGTGCAGATCCTACAAATTTCCAAAAAACAACCACTTTTCTATACAACAGACACTTCAACTATAATTCAAATTTACAAATAAATCTAAAATAAAACGAAACAGGTAAATACGTTAACAAATGTGAAATTACTATTTTGCACAGGTCCAAGAAATTCTCAGACAACCACTTTTCTATACAACATGCAAATTTCAAATGAAATTCAGTTCAAATTTATACGCACCTAATTTTTAATTCCTCTACTGTAAACACGATTTCTTAATACAGCGCTTTTTCCCATTAATCCCATTAATCATTTCACCCACACTGCGTTTATTCTAAATTAATTCACTTATTTCACTTCATCGCTAACTTTCCCTAAATTTTCCACTAATCTAGACCCCAATAAATGCGAAAATTTTCCAAAAATGTTTGCTAATTCACACCCCAGAAAGAATGTCGAGAATCTGATTTAATCGAGTTCGCAAGTCTGAAATTGAGCCACTGTGAAATACAATATCGCAAAATTTCCAACATCGAAAGCACGTTCATCAAATCGCGGCAAAAAAGTACAAGGAAACAGGGGGGCGGTCGCAAGAAACAACGGCACCAGTTACCGTTCCTTCGAGTTCCAGGCAGAGCGACCACGTCGTCGCTTTCCTTCTCCAAATCGATTGTCAATGGTCCGCGATATCTGTGACAAAGATCCGCGACCCTTTCCGCGGACTAGAATCGGACCATTTCTGCGCCGACGTCTGACCAAGTCGTTGGATGCAACAGTTTCCTTATACGGCAGTTAAAAGTGGCGTTTCACGTTTACATTTCACCGATGTACCTAACAACGCTCGGTAAATTCAATTTACCCGCGTGAATTGTTTGTAGAAAATTGAAGTGACGTTAATTGGTAACAAGTGAAACGATAAAGATATTGCTCATATTTTTAGTCGTTTTTTCCTGTTTATTTTTGAGTTTCTGGAGAATCGTTGTGAAGTTGTGTAGCTGATTTTCTGGGACCTGGTAAGAAAAAAATCCCCTTTTGTATACAAATGTAATATTGGGGTGAGAAAATGTGGAACAGTGAGTAATTTGAACGTAGAAATTTAACGTATAGGATAACGCGTACGTTAATTGTTCAATATATCGAGAATTGTAATCAGTTTTAATTATTTCGATGTTGAATTTTGTGAATCCTAGGGACCTTCGAATCTGTGTTAAAATTTGTTATTATTAGGGACTATCTTACGCTAGTGAACGAAATGAAGTTAATTTGAAAAGTGTCAAATGAAAGCCTTCATGCAACGAATGATTTTATTCGTTTGAGTTAAATAAGCAATAAAGTAAACAATGAAATTGAATAAAATAAGCAATTATTGTTTGAAACGCTTTTTTAATATTAATTTCACTAAAATTAATATTAAATATTATTGGAGAAATTAATTTAATGCTAAATATAATTTAGTATAATTTTTGGAGAAATTAATATTAAATTAATTATAATTTTTGGCGAAATGACTGGAGAAATTAATTTAATATTAATTTCTCCAAAAATGATACTTAAAACTATGACAATATTTCTGAATATTCGTTATCACACATGTCACGTAAGATAAATCGGTTTCTCAGCAAAAATTTGCATTGCAAAGTTAGACATTACTCACTGTCGTTGATGGGTTGAAAATGCCTCTATTTAGAGAACAAATCTTAACCATCTCTTATAATGGCTTCACCCCCATGTATAGTACGCGGAGGTGATACAATGAACCCTTTGTGGCTTAAGTGGCATGACATTCGAATCCCTTCTTTCCGTTGCTGAACACAATAGAGCCCGGTACAGGGTAAAAACGGAATGAAAGAGAAACAGAGAAAGCACCCTTATTTGTTTGATCACTCTTCCTCTCCTTCTTCTTTGATTCCGCTTAATTATATATCGTTCATTATCACGAGTAATTCTGCCAATTACGAATGTTCAAAATTTCTAAATATCGCAGAAAACTTTTCGAAACCACAGAATTAAAATAATATTTCTTAATTTGTCAATTTAAGTTTGTACCTCTGTAAAACATTTCATGCAAACAGATAAGAATCGATATGT